CTTATTGTCCAGGAAGAGGGAGGTGATAATCCTTGGCTGATACTCTATCATAAAGTATTTTATATTAAATTTTGAATGCAACATTTTAGGAAAGGCAATGACAAGCTAAATAACATCCCAGAAAGAGGAGGCTTTGATGGTGAGCCACCTCAACATCCCATCATGTTGGTTGAAGAAGCTGAGGATGTTCAGTCTGGAAAAGGAGGATTGAGAGTTGGGGGGACACCACTTTATTTTTGTTTTTAAAAATATTTATTTAAACACTTTTAAAAAATATTGAGTTCCAAATTCTGTCCCTCTCCCTAGCCCCTCCCCATGCTCACTGAGAATACAAGCAATATGATATCAATTATACATATGAAATAATGCAAAACTTATTAGTCATGTTGCAAAAATGAAAGCAAAAAAATTAAGTGAAAAAATTATACTTCAATTTGCAGGTAAAGTTCATCCTTTTCTTTTCTCTAGAGGTGGATAGCATTTTCCATCATGATTTGTTTTGAATTGTCTTGGATCATTTTAATGATCAGAGTAGCTAAGTCTTTCACAGTTGATTGTAGTTACAGTATTACTGTTACTGTGTACAATGATCCCCTGGTTCTGTTCACTTGACTTTGTATCAATTCATAAAGACCTTCCTAGGTTTTTCTGAGAATTCCATCACAATCATACACCACAGCTTGTTCAGCCATTACCAAATTGATAGGTATCCCCTCAATTTCTAGTTCTTTGCCACCACAAAAAAAAAATCGACTATAAATATTTTTGTGCATGTAGGTCCTTTTCCTTTTTTCTTGATCTCTTTGGGTTAAAGATCTAATAGTGGTATTGCTGGGTCAAAGGGTACACACAGTTTTATAGCCCTTGGGGCATAGTTTCAAATTGTTCTCCAGAATGTTTGGAGCAGTTCACAATAAGAACTATCACCTAGAACAGAGGTGTTAAATTCAAAATTCCTGGAGGAACCAGATTAAAATGTAATTGGGAAATGAGTGACAAAATAAATAGAACTATAATACAACATAGATAATGTAATTTATGTTTTTCTAAGTTAATGTGCAGCCTGCAGGGATATGTTTCTATTTGAATTTGGCACTACTGACCTAGAACCATGAGTAGCTTGTTTTGCTTAGACCCAGAAGACAGAAACAGGGTTAATAAGAAGTTATAGAGATGCACATACATTATGAACATAAGGAATGCTTCTTAACAATTAGAGTTGTTGTGTAGATAGAGCTATTAACAAAAATGTGTGCTGAGGAATGTCAGGCCTGGAGACTCTAAACATTACCACAGGACATTTTTTTTTTTGTTCTGAAGTCTGCTCCAAACCCTGACATGTATTACAAGCCCAGTTTATATACACAGACATGTGGGATACTTTCCTAACTCCAACTGAGAGAGTCCCTTCTTCTTCCACCTCAAACTGGTGCCTGATCAATTATTATGGTCTTTATCTCTAGGTGGCATCCAGGTACCCCACACCAAATCTGCAGAACTTCTTCTATGCCATCAAAGCTCTAGGACAAAAGATCAGACCATTCTAATGGGGAGATAACAATTAAATAACCCAGTACATACAAGACATACACAGAGTAAATGGAAAGCAATATGAAAAGGGAAGGCATTAGCAGCTAAGAAGACCAGGAGAGGCCTCAGGGAGCAAGTGGAATATGAAAAGAGTCTTGAAGGAAGCCCGGGAATCCAAGAGGTGTAGGTGAAAAGGTAGACCATTCCAAGGGAGCAATATTTGTGGATATGAAACTTGCTACTGCCTTTGCAGGGGTGGCCACCCCTGCTTCCTGAGTAGTTAAAATCTGAAGAATCAGAAAACAAAACATTAAATTATCAAAGCCCTTGACACCATCACATAATTCAAAAGATATGTCATCATCAGTTACCATCACACTGAAGAAAATGTATTACCAACTGTTTACCTGTTGCACCTTAAGGACCTCGAGTCTTTCCATCTGATTTGCAGCTGAACCTTCTCATATATGTTATTTTCCCATATTAGAATGTGAGCTCTGTGATAGTGAGGACCACTTTATCTGTATCTCCTTTGCTTAATCATCATCATCTTCTCCTCCTCCTCCTCCTCCTCCTCCTCCTCCTCCTCCTCCTCCTCCTCCTCCTCCTCCTCCTCCTCCTCCTCCTCCTCCTCCTCCTCCTCTCCTCCTCCTTCTTCTTCTTCTTCTTCTTCTTCTTCTTCTTCTTCTTCTTCTTCTTCTTCTCTCTTTTCATTCCTTCATTCATTCAGGGAAGGCTTCCTGTAGAAGATGAGTCTTAATCTAGACTTGGAACAAAGTAATTGATTAGCTAATCACCAATGCAGGTGGCTAATTATTAAATTGGCTGGGGTTGGGGGTCGAACATTTATAGCATTCATCATCTTCAAGCTAATCAAATAGCCAAGATGCTATGATGCTTCATAATCATAACACTTCATATTCCTGTTGAATTTCATATTGTTCTATAGATCAATATTGGGTTTAATTCCAACAGTCTTAAGAAGTAGGTTGACTGAATACTATCCCCATTTTACAGGTGAGAAGACTGAAGCACGGAGAGGGAAAGAGACTTGTTCAAGTCAAGAGTAGGCTATATTAGCTCTAAATACTATCATTCTAACTCCTACTGATGAGCCAAGTTAAAACTAGGCAATCTAAAATTCTTCCCTCTGTGTTCCAGTGGTATCCCTGAGGGAGGGAGGGGTGGCTTGCGATGCCATCAATGTGCTCCTCCATAAGGTAATCAGCTGAAAACCAATTTAATCAGCAAGACTGAAGTGGCTTTTAGAAAAAAAAAAGGTATCTACTATAGTAGTACGGTAAGAATAGTTGCTACAAAACTTGTGCCCCCCCCCCAAAATCTATGACATATTCTTCCACAAGTACATACAGATTACTAGAGAAAATAGGCTTAAATGGTACATGTGGCAAAGGGGTAACTCACAGCTATTGGTTTCTAGCAGTCCTTTTCTCCCGTTTGTAGGGAGCTCAAGAAACTCCCCTTAAGTATTGTGAATGTCAGTCTATCTGTCACTGGTTCCTAATCTAGATGCTATTGTCATCTGATCTTAGGATGTGGTTAGAACACTGATGGGAAAATGGGAACTTCAACATCTTTTGGACCCTTTGAAGCTCATAAAGTGCTCTTCCAACCGAGGCTAGAGTGAGAGCAAACTCCTCTCCCTCCCCTCCAAGTGGTTTTTATCTGGAACAACCCAATTGTTATCGTTCCCAGAAGATTCCCTTCTCAACTCACTAGATAATTTATAGTATTATCATATATATATATATATATATATATATATATATATATATATATATATATATACCCCTATGCTATGGCCAAGTTTCTTAGGTTTATCTGAACATGACTTGTGTGCAATATCATTAGAATTCAAAGGACTTTTCATCTAAAGCCTATGACTAATTGATTGGGTATCTTGTCACTTATTTAAGTGGGGGGTGGGCTGACTTGATTGCATAAATATCAATCAGCCCCACCCTTAAAAAGTTTGGAGACTGGATTTGACCTCAAGTTCTCCATGTTTCCCTCTATTACCACTTGCTTTTCTATGCAAGTATTCCTTATGTGAAGATGACTTCATTTCCTCCGCTGGGAGGCTACAATGGTATCCTAGAAAGAGTACTGGATTTTGAGTCAGAGGAGAGGATGTGATTTCACGTTCTGACTCTGCCATTTGCTGTGCAAGTCAATCAAGTCCCTTGAGGTACAATACCTACCTCCAGATCTTAACACATTTTTGTTGTTGTTGTTGTTCAGTCATGTCCAATTCTTTGTGACCTCATTTGTGGTTTTCTTGTCAGAGATACTCGGGTGGTTTGCCATTTCCTTCTCCAGCTCATTTTACAGATAAGGAAACTGAGGCAAACAGGGTTAAGTGACTTGTCCAGGGTCACGTAGCTAATAAGTGTCTAAGGCCAGATTTGAACTCATGAAGATGACTCTTCCTGACTCTACCTACCAACGCTCTATCTATCATACTACTTAGCTGCCCAGCATATCCTCAGGATCACCTAATGTTATAGGGTACACTAAGTATCATGCAAATGATACAGTAATATCTTCAGGTGAATGTTTCCTTTTTGATCTGTACCTGTGATTTCATTGGCATTGCAAATTCCCATTGTGGAAACTCCCTCCTTGGATAAAGATCAGCAACCTCTCCAGTAACAGACAACCTTAGGGAGATAGGGAAACTGAGGGGGTATGTGCCTTACCCATGGTCCCCCAGCTAGTTTGTGTCAGATGTGGGTCTTGAATGAAAGTCTCACTGATTCCAAAGATGGCCTTCTATCTACTAGGCCATACTGCGTCTCAACTGATTATTAGCTATAAAAAGATGGGGTTAGGAAAAATGGTCTCTAGGTCTCATGCATCTTGAAATTCAGTAACTATGACTTGAAAAGTGTAGAGAGAAAAGTTGTTTCTAAATGAATCTAAGATTGCAAGCTCCTTGAGGACAGGGGCTGTCTTTTGCCGCTCTTTGCATCCCCAACATTTAGCATAGTACCTGGCATTTGGTTGAGGCTTAATGAATCTTTATTGATTGATAGAAATGTTAATAGGAAAAAGTACTTCAATCTTCACAGAAATTCAGGATGCAAATATTTTTTGTAACACCAGAGGGCACTATTGGCTAGGTTTTTGAAATCTCTTTTCCAAAGAAATAGGAAGAACAAAAGGTAAGCTTGCTATAGTCAGTCCAACAATAGTTCTGCCATTCGTGAAAATGTTTGTAGCCACATCCATTTTCCAAATTTATTTTCTTTTTAAAATCACAATTTTCACAGAATGAGCCTATTTTTTGATTTGGAAGGGACAGCAGAACACAAAACATCCAATGTCAGAATGGGAAAGGAGCTTGCATAGAACATCAGACCTAGGAGGGATCGTAAAGACCAACATGAAGAGTATAACTGATTGGCCCAAGACGGTGCAGTAAACTAATGGATTTGCAAAGGCAACACTTGTTTTACATAAAGAGAAAGAAACTTTATTTTTCTTTTCTGGACATTTTTTTATGCTCTTTGGTCCTAGATAACAATACTGATTTCCCTTTACATACTACTTTGAAGTTTTACAAACCCTTTGTCATACACATTATCAAACTTGGTCTTCCATGTGAGGGAGATTTCTCGATGGTTAACACATGAAGACACTGAAGCCCGAAGTCACACAGCCAGGTCTTCTGATTTCTAGGCAGTGGTCTTGACACTGACAACTCGATGTCTCTGCAAGTAACTACAAGTTACTTCTTTTTTTCCTGATCTTCTTTGCTTTCTCTAGTTCGCCAATGTCACTTTCACCTTGATTCTGCAATTTACTGCTTATAAAACAGAAAAAAATGAAATGATGAGAACTTGGGGAAAATGATTACTTCATCTTTTTTCTCAATGTGTAAAGACAAAATCTATTCTGAATGAATGGAAAGTAAGTGATTCTATAAATATACACAGGGTGGTGCAATGGAAAGGATATCAGATTTACAGCGAGAGGGCCTGAGTTCAAATTCTAGCCTTACCATTTTGCTTGCTACTTGTGTAACCCTGGGCAAGTTCCTCAACTTCACTGTACTTCAGTTTCCTCATATGTAAATAAAGAATCCAGACTAGATGACTTATAAGGTCTCTTCCAGTTTGAAATCTATGATTCAGTGATCTAATGGTTGCTCTTTCTTTAGAAGGGTCAATTCATGTGATGCATAAACTGTTTAAGAGATGTAGTTTATAGTTATTTAATCATTTTATTAATCATGTTAGCAATAATCAATAAAAGGGATTAGTGGCATCCTTTTATGGAACCCTCTCAACGCTTATATACCCTTGGAAGAGGAGGTATCCCTGTGGGAGGTAATCAACTCTGATTGGTTAACAATTAAGAAGAATGAATATTATAATGAGAGGTGGACTTATTCTAATGAATCTCTGGGGGACATGATTGATCACTCAGTCTTGGTTAAAGACACTTATCTATACCCATATCATCGTTTAGGGTAATCTGGACAAAAGGGAAAACCCACTTTTCCCCAGACCTGTTCGAGTTAAAACAAAATGGGCCAGAATCCATCAATTCACCTAAACTAAAATTTCTTTACCTTTTGAACAGATCTGTTCTCCAGTTGGGTCAGTCTTGCCCAATATTTCATCTCATTATGAACCTTGCACTTAAAAGGTTGCCTGAATAATATACAGGGGCTGATTTCTAAATGACGAAAGAAGAGGAAAAACCTTAGTCCTAATTCAATAATTGGCTATTAACATAGGAGAGAAATAATCATTTCTCTCAGCTATATGGTACTAAGCCATAATGGTAATAAGTGAACAGCCTCCAATGCTTCAAGGCACCATGGTGTTTTTTACATAATAGACCCATGAAGGAGCCCCTGTGAAGCTTAGGTGTATTTCATGGAGGAGGAAAACGGAGGCTCAGAGGAACAAAGTTGCCCAAGGCTACAGCTAGTGAGTGGAGGTACTGAGATGCCAACCCAAATGTCTTGATTCCAATTCTGGCATTTTTCCACTACCCCCACAGCTTCTTCTGGGTACCCCTGAGTCAGTATGTCAGAAGGGACAAGTTCTGAAAGCCAGGAGAAAGAAACTCTAATCTTTCTGAAGAGACAACATGGAACAGTGGGAAAAGCCAGTGGGGAATCACATGACCTGGCTTCCAATCCCAGTTCTGCTCCTGAAGAAATGATTAACCTCTTTGGACTTCAGTTTTCTATCCACAAAATGAAAGGGTTAAACTAGATGATCTCTAATGTCCCTTTTAGTTCTAAGTTTATGATCCTACAAATTAATACACCATCACCCACCACATTCCAGGAGCTATGTACACTTTTCATGCATAATATATCAGAGGAGCAGAGGGCAGAGTTAGAGCAGGCATAGCTGATTAAATTCCTCAGACCAATTAGTTCCATCTAAAGGTATAATGAAGGCCCAATATACTTGACTCTACCAAACTGAGCAAAATAGTCTATAATTCTCATCACACATGCAGTCACCACCTCAGACAAGGTTCTGGTACTGGGCAAACTCTACATACAATGTGGGTGCGGTTGGCCAGCTGCATACGGTGCTGGAAAGAACCCCAAATTTGGGAATCTGTAGACCTGGAATTGAATCCTACTTTGTACTTAATCTCTATATGACCTTGGGTAGGTCACTTAAGGTCTCAGAACTTCATTTATTAAATGGAGGTAATAATACTTTGTATTACCTTGCACAGGTACTGTGAGGAAAGTGCTTTTTAAACCATAAAGAGCTACTGAAATGTGAGCTATTATTATTGTTATTACAAAGTTTATAAATGATTACAGTTTTGAATCTAGAGATCATTAGAAGTTTATTAACCAACTCCATTACCCCTTCTTCCAAGGAGATGCACACTAGGATTTTCCCAAAAGTCACATCCACATGCATGAGTTAGGACATTCATTTGTGGACACTGAGTCTGGAGAAAAGCAGCCTTAGGGGCATACTTTAAACAGTCTTCAACTATTTAAAGGGCTTTTGTGTGGAAGAGGGTTGAGATTTGTTCTGTCTGATTTCAGAAGACAGAACTGGGGGCAATGGGTGGAGCTTGTGGAGAAGAGGATTTTCTCTCATGCTAAAGAAGACTTGTCTAACAGTTAAAACTGTCCATAGGGGAATGTGTGTCTTGTTAGCTAATGTACTTCTTGTCACTTAATGTGTTCAAGCAAAAGCTGGTTAGCTATCTATCAGCACTGGTGGATTCTGATGCTGGCTGGGAGTTTAGACTAGATGACCTCTAAGGTTTTTTTCTATTTCTAAGATTTTACGATTTATTTAGATTCAGAGAGCTAGAAAGAACCTTGAAGCTGTCATCTGGTCTAGCTCCTTGTCACAGACAGGTTTTACTTTAATGATCAAAAACAGATGTTTGAGTAATTCTATTTTAAAAGCTCTCAAGGGATGGTGATTTCAGAACCTCCCTGCTGTAGTGGCTACACAAGACTTTCTGCTGTATACCTAACTCAGCTCTGGAAAACAACTGGTCGTGATGTCTTTTAATAGCTCATTATAAATGTAAAGTAAATGTCATCACCTCCTTTCCTTTTACCTTTTTTCCCCTTTGTCAACCTACCTAATATCATGCTCGTTAATATTTTATTGGAATTCTTTTTCTATACATTTTATCCTTTGGCATATTCCTGTGCAGCATCTTATATTTACCTTACAATTCAAGCATTTAACAAAGGCCTGATCAGAGCCAAGTATAGAGCAATTAGTCTCCTTCTTCAAGGGCATCAGAGACTCATGCTAATACTACTCTGTATTGTGATATTTAATTTTTAATTCAATTTTATTTTTATTTTCAGTTCCAAATTTTCTACATCCTCCTCCCTCTCATCCATCGAAAAGGCCAGAATTAGAATACCTATTAAACATATGAAGTCATATAAAACATATTTCCACATTAGTCATGCTCCAAAAGAAAAAAGAAAGAGAAAAAATATGCTTCAATCTACACTCTGAGTTCATCAGTTCTCTATATGGAAGTGGATAAGGATGTTTCATTATGAGTCCTTTGGAGCTGGAGTGGACCACTACATTGATCAAATACTAAATCTTTCACAGTTGATTATCTTTACAATATTGGTAATGTGTAAATTGTTCTCTTGGTTCTGCTCACTTCACTTTGCATCAGTTCACACAGATCTTCCTATGTTTTTCTGAAACTATTCCTTCATCATTTATTACAACATAATAGTATTCTGTCACATTTATATATCATAACATGGTCATCCATTCTCCATTTTGTGGGAATACCCTAGTTTCCTAATTCTTTGCTACCACAAAAAGCTTTTTCCATGGATTCCTTTGGTATTCTTGATCTTTTGTTTCTCCAGATGAATTTTGTTATTATTATTTTTAGCTCAATGAAATAATTTTTGGCAGTATGATTGGTGTGGCATCAAATAAGTAAATTATTTTAAGTAGCATTGTCATTTTTAACATATTGCCTTAGCACATCCACGATCAATTAATATTCCTCTAATTATTTAACTCTGTCTTTATTTGTGTAAAGAATATTTTATAATTGTGTGTATATAAATCCTATGTGTGTCTTGGCATGTAGATTCCCAACTATTCTGTTTGTCTTCAGTTATTTTAAATAAAATTTCTCTACCTCTTCTTGCTGAATTTTGTTGGTAATATACAGAAATTCTGATGATTTATGCGGGTTTATTTTATATTCTGCAACTTTGCTGAAGTTGTTAATTGTTTCAACTAGCTTTTTTTTAATTGATTCTCTAGGGTTCTCTGAGTATACTGTCATAGCATTTGCAAAAAGTGATAGTTTTATTTCTTCATTGCCAATGTTTATTCCTTCAATTTATCTTTATTGTTTTATTTAATACAAAATGAACTAGAAACTTAGTGTACTACTTCAGACCCTTATATTACACTTGGGGTTCATTCTCTGGCACTGTGGTTCCCAACTTTTTTTGTTCTATGAATCACTTTCAACCACCAAAACAAAAATATGATGTAAACATCTAGAGTGACTTAATATGCTATTCATAATGCTACCTATAATTATTTATTGCTTAAATTGCCACTAAATAATTTTAGCACAACCCCCCTGGGCCACCATCTTGAACTCCCAACAGGTTTATGAAAGACTAAATGGGAACCACTGTGTTGGACAATGTAGATTATTTTATTTTATTTTATTTTTGTCATACAATTGTTTTACCAGTCAGTTTTAGCTGTACAGGATTATGTAGGTACTGGATATATAGATCCAGAATCACTTGTATGGACACAGAAATCAAATTTGTGGGATCAGATGAAATTGTCATGTGAGATAACACAGAATGGAAAGAGAAGAGGTCACAGCACAGAATTTTGAGGGACACCCAGAGTTAGTGGGCACAGCCCAGATGAAGATCCAGGAAAAGCTACCGAAAAGGAATGGCCAGACAAGTAGGAGGAGAACCAGGAGACAATGATGTCCTGAAAACCTGAAAAGGAGAGGCTATCTAGGAGAGGGTGATAGACAGCATTAAAAGGTGCAGAGAGATAAAGGAAGAGGAGTAATGAACAAAAGGCCAATGTAAGCTACAAATAATGACTTGATTTACCTTGTTGGTTATCTAGACTTAATACAGTAATGGAGAAAAGTGTCAATATAATGCAGATCATACTTAAAACTGAGTTGTGTGTCCATTTTATTTTTTTCAGAGAGCCAGTTGTTAGACATTCAGCAGCACACTACTGCAGTAGTCCCACTAGGACTGTATGGTAGCACTAGGGTAGACCTGTAGGGCTAAGAATGGAACTTGTAGACCACAATTGTACCTGCAAGATCCTGAACTCTGGCCCCTGGAGGTAGGGTCGTCTTCATTCAGACTAGGATCATCATTTTCTAGAGGCAAGGGCTTCTTCTTTTTGTTCCTCAGACATTTCTCTGCAGAAGACAAACTGTCTCAGCTTCAAACATTTTTTTTGGGGGGGGTGAGTCAATTGGGGTTAAGGGACTTGCCCAGGGTCACACAGCTAGTAAGTGTCCGAGGACAAATTTGAACTCAAGTCCTCCTGAATCCAGGGCCAGCGCTCTATCAAGTGCGTCACCTAGCTGCCCCTCAAATATTTACTAGTGGTGTGACTCTGGGCAAGCCATTTCCCTTTTCTGTTTCTCATTTTCTCCTATAAAATGATGAGGTTAGACTATGAGGTCTCTAAGGACCCTTCCAGCTCTAACATTCCGTAGCTTAAGAGGTCTTAAAACTCTTAAATGTTGTTACATGTTCTAAAGTATCTTCTGGCTTTATATAACAATCTATGATCCTTGGATTGAAGAGCTCTTCCAACTTGAATATTCTATGCCCTCAAGTCTCTTGCAACTCTGACATTCTGTCTTTGATCTAAAAGCAATCAATCAATAACCATTTATTAGGCACCTATTATATGACAGATACTGCCACAGCACCTTATACATTCCAGGCACTGTGCTAAGCACTTTATAATTATTATCTTATTTAATCCTCACAACAAACACGGGAGAGAGGTGCCTATTTTACAGTTGAGGAAACTGAGGCAAATAGAAAGTAAATGACTTGCCCAGAATCAAACAGCTAGTAAGTACCTGAGGCCAGATTTCAACTCAAGTCTTCTTGACTCTAGGTCCAGCTTTCTATCAACTCTGTCACCTAGCTGCCATATACATCTATGCATGTATGCAAATTAAAACCAATAATAGATATAAGGTGATGGTGGCAAGTCAAGTTAACAAGTATTTATTAAGTACGGAATAAGCTACGGAATGCTTCATGTAGAAGCCAGTTTCAAACTCTCATAGTTCCTGTTCTAGGATGGTTTGCAGCTCTGACATTCTATGTTCTATGTCCTACAGACCAAATCCCTATGACTCTAAGAACTCGTGAATCAATGCTACAACTAATTCAGTATTACCTTTCCCCCAGAATCTCTCTTTGGGTGTATAATCTTGCATACAACTTCTATCTCACTTTCATGTATATTCAGTGCTTAGCACAGTGCCTGGCACATCATCATAAGAGCTTAATAAATGCTTATTGACTGAGGTAGCTAGGTGGCGCAATAGATAGAGCTCCGGCCTTCGAATCAGGAGGACCTGAGTTCAAATCCAACCTCAGACACTTGACACTTACTTACTAGCTGTGTGACCCTGGGCAAGTCACTTAACCCCAACTGCCTTACCAAAAAAAGAAAAAATAAATAAAAATAAATGCTTATTGACTGATTTATATTTGCATGTATAGTATGCATTCAGGGACTGAAGTTTAGGTGAGAGGTTAATCCAGGCACTCCCCTAAATGAAAGACTAATTCTTGGAAATAAATTCGAACTAACAGAGTTAGAATCATATTATTTTTGAACAGGAATTCATTAGTGCATCTTCCTCTATTCATGTAGGTGCTAATCATTCTATACCTTAATATACTCAGTCTTCCTGAGTTTCTTTGGCCACATCATCTAACTGCTGGGCCAAATTTAGTTAGGATGGTCTCCAAATACTAACATATTAAACTCCACTTTTTTCCTGTAGGCTTTTTAATCCTGGTTGAACTTTATAGTCCTTATAGTTCCACTGGTGTGCTGTTCAGTCGTATCTCAGTTATATCTGACTCTTTGTGATCCCATTTGGGGTTTTTCTTGGCAGAGATACCAGAAGGGTTTGCCATTTCCGTCTCAATCTCATTTTACAGATGAGGAAACTGAGGCAAACAGGGTTAAATGACTTGCCCAGTGTCACACAGCTAGTAAGTGTCTAAAGCTGGATTTGAACTTGGAAGATGAGTGTTCCTGACTCCAGGCCCAGTGCTCCATCTACTATATCACCTAACTGCCCTAGCTGTCCACTGGTATAGTCTTCCATAACTCCAAGATACCTTCACACAACGATGAAACATCAAAGAAGGACTTTAATGAATAGTAATATAATGATTATGATTATAATAATAGTCAATATTTATATTTGTAACAAGCTTTTATAATCATTACCGCATTCAGTCCTTGTAACAGTCCTATAAGGTAATTGGAGAAGAGTATTGTCTCTATTTAACAGATAAGAAAACTGAGGTCCAGGGAAAGGTAAAGTGGCTTGCCTAGCACCACACAACTTATGATTGGCAAAGCTGGGATTCACACGCAGGGCTTCTGCCTTCCCATTCTCATTTCACTTACCAGGCTGCCCTCTCTTGTTTGCCGCTGGTTTGTTTTCGGTGAGAGGCACTCGAGACAATGCTGCCAGCTCCGTGATGAAGATCTGCTCAGCTTCCTGGATAGGCAAGAGAAGAAAACAAGCAGTGAGGACCTTGGAAGGACGTCCCCTCATCTCTGTGGATCCCAATCCTATCTGCTCTTCAGTGCTGACCATTTAGAGTCAGTGAAGAGCAGTATGAACTTCAGTTCACATTTGTGACTTAAAAGTGTGCAAAGAAAGTCCTTTGCTGCCAACAATCCTATTATGAAGATGGCGCAAATGTTATCCTTCTCACCTCACAGATGAGGAAAAGCATCACACAGAGGTTTACTGACTTGCCAAAATTGTATAGCTATGGAAGGCCAGAGTGAGGACACACAGCAAGTAAGTCTTCAAGACCCCAGCCAGGGTTGTTGTTATATCACATTACAGAAAATCGACTTCATTCCCTTATAGGCACACTCCAATGGGGAACAAAAATGGCTGCACCCAACTCAACCAATCGCCCTCCTTCTTCACAAGATTTGTGTCCAAGTGCTTTTTAATTCTTTCCAAAATTCAAATCTGTCCTCAAAAGACAAAGATTTACCCTGACTGTGGAGATGAAAAAGCATGTGTCACTGAAGCGTTGAAGGGCATTCGACACCCTAAAGAGGAGTCCAGACAGTTTGAATAATATTGAGCAGCATCATTGGAAAAATCCCACAGTTTCCTAAGGGGACTATTTTGAAGTGACCTTCATTTATTTGGATGGATAAATCCTGGAAAAGATGTTTAAGAAGCAGCCATGGAACTTTAAAGTCATGCTTTGGATTTTCATGATGATATGATTTCATCTTAAGGTTTATTTATTATAATGATTTTTGAGCTGCACCTACATTCCTATTAAAGAGGAAACTTCAGTTATCGCCAACCTTGACCAAATCATATGTATATGTATATATGTGTGTGTGTGTGTGTGTGTGTGTGTGTGTGTGTGTGTGTGTGTGGTGTGTGTAAAATGTTAGTCTAACCGCCTGAAGGTAAATTTACAAGCTTCAGACTCAACCCCTCCCCCCTTCCATTCACAGAGGTAGCATGATACAGTGAGAAGAGTACTAGTCTAGTAAAATCACAAGAGATGTGGGTAAGATGTGGCTCTGATATATAATATCAGTGTGACTTTGAGTAAGCAAGTTGATGAAATGGATAGAAAGCTGGGGTTGGAGTCAGGAGAATCTGAGTTCAAATCCTAGCCTCAGATAATGTGACCCTGGGCAAGTCGCTTAACCTTGCTTGCCTCAGTTTCCTCATCTGTAAAATGAGCTGAAGAAGGAAATGGAAAACCTCTCCAGTATCTTTCCCAACAAAACCCTAAATGGTGTCATGAAGAGTTGAACACAACTAATCCACTAAACAATAATAGGGCCTTGGGTAAATGACTCTCTGATCCTTAATTTCCTTATTCATATCCTGGGGAAGACATTACACTCCCTACCTCACCGGGTTGTTGTGAAGAAAAAAAAACTTTATAAACGCAAGCTTTTCTTTTTTGTTCGCAAAACCTGTCTTACTTGGGCACTACAAGTACTTAGTTCATGTTTGTTAAACTGCACTGACTGCGGCTTTTCCAAAGAGGCATTTCAGTCAATGTTACCTTCATCTGAGTCTCAAGCTGGGCTCCCAGGTGATCCATAGCTTCTGCAGTCTGTTTCAGGGAGGCCAAGCGAATCTGCTGATGCACGTCGAACTGGGCCAAGAACTTCTTTTGCTGTGACAACATCCTTGCAAGAGGAAATAAGAGACATCAACGCCATTCTTTATAGGAAGATTTATCAGAAGATAGCTCTGTCTCAGCCACACTAAGTACGCTGCAAAGGCTGGCTGAGTTCTGAGAATCAGGGACTAAGTGTACATTATCTTTGCAAGTTGCAGAGGCATGACAAATATTATTGGAAAGGCTCATTCCCTGAGCCCACAATGCAGGCAGGGCAAAACCAGATTCCAACATCTCAGGGTGGAATTGCACATCTGAAGCCAGGGTCAGTCTGTGGATGAGACCAAGAATTATAGAATCTCAGCATGGGAAGGGACCCCAAAGGTCATCTGGCCCAAACTGTACTTGGATGAAAATTCTCTCTAGACCAGGCCTGCACAGCCTGTGGCCCCCCAAAAGATTTGGGGCAGCCTGCGAAAAATATAGAGGTTTTCCTCTCCGTTTTTTGTGGGCTGCCCGAAATCCTTTGGTGTGCAGTAAGCAGTCTGCCTGCAGGCTGTAAATGACCCATGGGCCACAGCTCATGCAGGCCTGTTCTAGACAATGCCAAAAAATAATAATCCATTCAGCCTCTGCTCAAAGACTTCCAGGGTTAAGAAACTCACGGTGTCCTAATTCAGTCCAGTCCAATTTTAGATAGGTCTAAAAGAATTTCCCTTATGGAGTCATGCAATTTCCACCCATCTGTGGTAATTTTGTCCTCTGGGGCCAATCAGAACAAGTCCCCACCCCCTCTCTTATTAGGCAATAGAATAATAAGTCACTCTCACTGCTTAGGAAACTGCTGGGGAAATTCTGGCACTCAGCTAGGAAGCCTAAGGAATGGGCTGATATTTAACCCAGAAATGAAGAGGTTCTAGTGGTGACTGTCAGGGCTCTCATTTTAACTGGTGGTCTGTCAGAACTGAAGAGGCAGCTGAGGTTCAGTTGAAAGAGCCCCAGACTTGGATTTAAAAGAGCTGAATTTGAATTTTGGTTCTATTACTTACTATCTGTTTATCCTTGGGTAAATCACTTTCCCTTTCTGAGAAAAAAAAATTGGTAATGATTTCATTTCATAAATGACCTACCTCACAGGGCTGTTCTGAGAATGAAATAAAATACTGAGTATAAAATTCTTTCACAATGTCTATACTATTATTATTATTATTATTATTATTATTATCATTATCATCTTATTTTATTATTCTGTTGGTCCACAGATATGATGTTTCAAATACTTCCATAATGTGTTTATAAAATACATTTCATGACAGCTCTTTATCAAATATTTATTTGGACAGGTTTTTTCTTTTATAAAGGGAGGTGGATCTGGCTAAATATTTTTACATGTGTGCATGTGTGTGTGTGTGTGCGTATATATACATATATACACATATATACATATATATATACATATATACACACATATATATACATATATACATATATACATATATATACATATATACATATATATATACATATACATATATATATATACATATATATATATATATATATATACACCCATACAGACACACACAGCGAAGAAAATGATGTCTACGTGATGCATTTGGAAGGGCTTCTGGAAGATCCCCTCCCAAATTTTCCTTAATCAGTTGCTGCACTGCCTGAAAATACAGCATTAGATATTTATTCGTTTGCAACAAAGTCTTCTTAAATGTGAAAATGTCTGCAAAAATGTTTCTCCCACCCTCCTTTCCTTCTTTTTTTCTTCCTCCCTTTCTTTCTTCCTTTGTCCCTTCCCCACTCCCTCCTCTTTCCTTTTCTTCTCCCTCTCTCCTTTTTTTTCCTTCCTCCTTCCCTCCTTGCCTCCCTTCCTTCCTTCTTCCTTCCTCTTTCTCCCTCTTTTCCTCCCTTCCTTTCCTCCCTCCCATCCTCCCGTTACTTTTTTTCTTCCATGTTTCTTGCCTCTCTCTCTCTCCCTCCCCTCCCCTCCCCCCCCTCTCCCTCCCCTCCCTTCCCTTCCCTTCCTCTCTACTCCTCCTCTCCTCTCCTCTCCTCTCCTCTCCTCTCCTCCCCTCCCCTCCCCTCCCTTTTCTTTCCTTTCCTTCTCCCTCTCTCCTTCCTTTCCTTCCTCCTTTCCAAATTCACAACCTGAGCAGTCAGATAACCAGTAAGCTCATTTTATATACAAGGGTTTGTTGTTGTTGTTTGTCCTTTATTCTCTTAGAGGACCGATGACAACAGGAAAGTGATGTCTTGACTTGCAAGTGAACTGGATTTAAGTGAGGCAGGGCAGTGCAAAGTCACCAGCCTCACTCTCTCCTCCAGAGAATTAAGGAGGCACATTGGATAGACTCCTTGGCCTGGAGTCAGTATGATTCACCTCCCTGACCTCAAATCCAGTCTCAGACACTTACTAGCTGTGCGACCCTGGACAAGTCATTTAACCCTATTTGCCTCAGTTCCCTCATCTGTAAAATGAGCTGGAGAAGGAATAGCAAGCCACTCCAGTATCTCTGCCAAGAAAACCCTGCATAGGATAATGACGAGTCAAATACAGCTTAAAATGACTGAACAAAGCTACAGAAGTCAATCCGGGCACTCAGGGAATTCTAAACGTGTGTGGTTTTTGCCTTCACTCTGATCTGTGGTCATAGTGTGCATTCTAGACCACAGCCAGGAAACTAAAAAGTTTGTATCAATGGTCACAAGGGACAGAGTGGGCCTAGACAAGCGCAAATTCTTCCTGAATGCTGGGAAAAAATCAAAACACAACTTAAAGGGGAATATTTTAGTAAAAGTAGGTCAGTAGCACTACAGAACTCAAGGAATCTCAGCAGGAAGGGATTATAGATGCCATGAAAGAATGAATGAAAAGCATGACTTTTACCCTTACTATGTGCAAATCAATGGGGATGTGGAGAGCAAAGCTACAGCGAAGAAGAGAACTTTCTAATAGGGTAAGACACTATACGTGAAAGGTTTCAACAGCAAGTTAGAGAAAAAAATGCCCAGTGGTCCTTAGGAAGAAATAGCAAAGGCAGATGGCAATGTTTCTTCTTTGATGTCATTTGTATTAAGAAAACTGCTGCCTTTCTGGTGTTAAATAATTTGATGATTTGGTGAAAATGACTTTTTTTTTTGGAGGGGGGTCTTCAGTTGCTATGGCTGCTAAGGAGGCAAAGGGCTAAAGTCCTGAAGGCATAGTTAAATTTCCACAACAGTTGCTTCCCTGAGCAATGTCTGGGAAAGCTAGAAGGAAGCAGGGCTGGTGTTCCGATGTGTGTGTCAGGGGGCGGGTGTTCTGGGGTTTACCTGCCTAGCAGTAGACTTTGGTTGGCAGTTGGTGGCCTTGGTGATAGGGATGAAAGGGTACTTTCCTACAGGGGATTTTTATTGTTCAGTCATTTCAATTATGCCCAACTCCCACTGACCCCATTTGGGGTTTTCTTGGCAAAGATACTGGAGTGATTTGCCATTTCCTTCTTCAGCTCATTTTACAAATGAGGAAACTGAGGCAAATGGGGTCAAGTGACTTTCCCAGGGTCATACAGCTAGGAACCATCTGAGGCCAGATTTGAACTCATAAAGATGAGTCTTCTTGAATACAAGCCCAGTGCTCTATCCATTGTGCTAGTCAGCTGCCCTGTAAGAGATGCTCCCCTGAATTATGGCAGCAGGGGATGGGTTGGAAGTGCCTTAAGTCTCCTGGGGGTTGCTATTACCCTTGGGGATCTTGGCTTCAGATTACTGGACTATTTCCACTGGAGTCTGAGGGATGGTTATGGTTAAGGTGGTTTGGCCCTCTTGCTACATGTTGCTTCCTGTTTCTCCCTTGGGTTGCCTTTCTGCTCCAGCTTACCTAGCTCAGTGGTGGCTGGAATGGTGATCTGGTTTAACCTTTTCTGACCAAGATTTCCATCTCTAACATTTCCAACAAGTAGTCATTGAATTTCTGAAGCTGAAAGACGTTTAATGAAGTAGGATGCATGTTTTCCCAAAGTAACCCATTTCACTTTTGTGTAACACTGCTAAGATGGACAATTTGGGGGCACGGTGAACAGAGTGCTGGGCTTGGAGTCAGGAAAATTCATCTTCCTGAGTTCAAATCTGGCCCCAGACATTCACTAGTTGTGTGACCCTAGGCAAGTCACTTAATCCTGTTTGCCTCAGTTTCCTCATCTGTAAAATGAGCTCGAGAAGGAAATGGCAAACCACTCCAGTATCTTTGCCAAGAAGAGCCTAAATGGGGTCATGAAGAGCCGGACACAACTGAAAACAACTGAACAACAACAAAACTGTTAAGGATGTCTTCACAATTAAGTTGGCTTCACTGAAATTTCACCCATTTCTCATGGTTACAGGAGTCAAGCAGAATGTTTAATCTTTCCTCTGAACAGTCTGTCAAATACCTGAAGGTAGCCAACCTGTCCTCCCAAGTCTTCCCTTTTCTAGGCAAAAGATCCCAAGTTCTTCCAACCAGTTCCCATATAGCACAGTATTAAGACGTTTCACCATCCTAGACTTCCTACTCTGATGCTTTTCCGCTTATTTGTCTTTCCTAAAATGGAGCATCTGGATCTAAACCCAATGCTCAGACTGCAGTCTGACCAGGTCAGAGAACAGTGAGATTATCATTTCTCTAATTCCACACTATAGCTCATGCATCTCCATTGATGTTTGTCTTCAATAGTTAGCTACAGGCCACACTTAGCTCAGAACAAAGGTATTTACTGAAAAGTCATTATGACAGTTACTCCTAACATCTGTCCTATAAACCTGAGTTATACTCTCTTAAAAATACAAAAAAAGTAACAGTGGGAAGAGTGGAAACTCAGAATTCCAAGTGAAGAGGAATACGTGTAGGAACACATATGGCCAAGGCATTTATACCTCCAGTATCACGGGTCCCCTGACGCCTACTGCCGACTTTGTCCTACTCCACGTGGTGGCGTGGTTTCTCTGCACTAGTGTCCATGGACCTGCTCACAGGCAGGATACATGGCTTCATGCTTAGTTATGGGCTCTATTCTCCCTTCTTTAGGGATTAGCTGAAAT